GCCGAACAGGCCCAAAGAATGCGCGGGCGCTGGCAGTCTTCTGGCGTTGCGCTTGTTCTCGTCTGTCGTGGCTTGTCTAGCGGTTCTTGCCTTTAGAGCTCGAGCGAAAACGTAAAGGAAACGGATCCCAAAAATCGGCAAAGGCTTACCTAAATTTCCAAGGTTGAACAGATCCAAAGATGAGGCGGATCGAGTTCCCGAAAATCGACAGAGATAGACCCGCCAAGGAAACCTACCGGCAAGGCCAAGAATCTGAGCAGATCCGCGCCACAGATCCCAAAAGGTCCGGCGTAATGCCATAAGAATGGCCGCCGAATAGCAATAGGCCCAAAAAATGCGCGGGCGCTGGCAGTCTCCTGGCGTTGCGCTTGTTCTCGTCTGTTGTGGCTTGTCTGGCGGTTCTCCCCTTCAGAGCTCGAGCGAAAACGTAAAGGAAACGGATCCCAAAAATCGACAACGGCCCACTTAAATCCCAAGGGCTGGAGGTGTCTGCGGCAGAGTTCTCCCACAGATCTAAGCAAAGTTCTCGACACCAGCCCCAAGGGTGAACAGATCCAAAGAAGGCACAGGCGCCGAGAGTGCTCAGCTTGCTCGCGCTTCTGTCGCTTTCGTTTGTCGCGGCGGGCTGGGGTGGTTCGTTCCTTTGGAAATCTATCGAAATCGTATAAGACGCTGACCCCGTAAAATGATGAAGCAAGATCCACGAAATTCGCAGCGCCAAGAGGCTGAGCGGGTTCGCTTTTAAATCCAAACCAAACGCGCGACGCGCGGCCCCGTAGATCCAAAATAAGAAAAGGGCACCCCAGTACTTTCCGGCAGTGAGAACGATCATGGTGAAGACACCGATCCAAACGAGAAGCCCCGCGGCAGACTGGTCCAAAGAAATGGGGCGTGGGGTTTATTTCCCGTCGTCGTGTTCGCGGCGTGTCGATCGTTAAGCAAACCCCCTCAAATAGCGGCGGAAGGTGTACACGCTAGAGGCGGGGCGCGTCTCATTAATTTTCCCGCGCCATGTTCTTGCCATCTCATTGCTACAAAGTCAGGGCGTAGAGTTTTTCGAGTTTTTTCATTGGTTTTTCCCGCTAAGGGAACTAGTTTTTTGCATTGTTTTCAAAATGACTTCGCCGACGATGGAAGCGCTGCGCAAGTGCGTGGGCGGCAGCCGGTTGGGTGTGACGTGGGTGGAACCGGATGGGGGGGCCGCTTCTCCTTCTCCTTTCCTCTGTCTCACGGGGTCAGCTCAGTGGTTGCGCGCTATTGCTACCCAGGGGCGCGGCTGGTCGTTCAGGTGAAGGACCCAGACGGAGGGCCGCCGCGCGTGCTCGTTGGGAACGTTGTCGAGGTATTATATGCGTAGTTCTTAGGCCCATCAGGCACGTGCGCAGGCGTTGAGCTCAGGGACTTGCTGGCAAGTGTTTCGTGTAGGTGGTTAGCTTTCTCGATCGTTTTGCTCCATTTATTATCAGGTTGCTTTAGCATGTGTGTAGGGTTTCGGCACTGCTGGCCGTGGAGTGATCTGTATGAGTATTATGCTGTATAGCTGACACGTAGGCGCTAGGCTTGTGCATTGTGTTGGCCTTGTTATTAGTTAGAACGCACAACAGTAGTAGAAAAGTAGAAGAGCCACCACGGGCCAAATTAGGCACCCGCTGCGCAGTTGAGTGGCGTGGTTGGTCATTCAGTGCGTCACATTCAAAATTTTTCGGCAGCGCATTAAGCCAAACCAATAAACCCCCACAGGTCGACAAGGTTCGCAAAACTTGCCAGCTGGCTAGCTTGGAGGGTGACGCACTGCCGCGCGCGGTACAAGCGGGCGAAACGGCTGAGGGCTTGGCGCTGGGGTCGTTTCCTGTCAAGGAGTTGGAAGACGCGGGGGCGCAGCCCATTGCTTCAGACGAAATCCCGACTGAATTTTGGCGGATTCTTGTTGTTGCCGTTGTTGTTGCTGCTGTTGCTGCTGTTGTTGCTGCTGTTGTTGCTGCTGTTGTTGCTGCTGTTGTTGCTG